TTTGATGCATTCAGTAAAATAGCTCCGATAGACCGAAATACCAGAGTTGATTCATAAGCTCAGCGTGGATTTCACAGCCAGGTAAGACTGTAAGACTTAACATGCTAGTTGTCTGATAAATCAATCACCTGTCATTCTACCTGCTAAGATACTACATCGTTCTTTCAGTTACCTGTTGAAATCAGCTATCTCGAGAGCCTTATAAAATTTAAATAGTCTGCTTGACCGACGTAGTTAATACTCAGTCTTTTTGGAAATTGCCAAAAATCTATTCGAGCCACCTAAGGCACGATAGAACGGACAGCAAGAACGTGCAACTTTTTTTGAAGTATTGCTGCAAAACGAGTTGAATAGCTATGTCATGCGTTTTACTAACCACGTTCAAACCTGTCTTGCAACACTTTAGGTTGTGTCAAGTTGCGCAAATTTGTTGCAGAAAGTAGAGTAGTTCTACTATTTGCAACAAATTTTGTACATGTTGGGCGTTTTCCTGGTCCCACACAAACTTGTTTCGTATGACGTGACTCCCGCGCAATATCCAGTTAGAAGTCAGTATTCAAGCAGAATGCAACGGCCTGATTTGTTGTAAGACAGGTTTGTTTCGTAGTTGGTAAGACGCGCAACATCGCTATATTCATCTCGTTTTGCTACAAAGCTGCAAAACAAGCCAGGGGCGTAGCCAGCCCGTAGGCCCGTAGGCCCGGGCCTACACTTTTTTTTCCGCTCGCCTGACTTTTCAAGGTAGTATGACTCATTAGTAAAAAAATTTCTTACGAAATACTTTCGAGTCTGTAAATAACAAAGAAACAGCAAGATTAAATCTCCTAGCGTTAAAGAACCATTGGATTGTAAGGAACATGATGTCCACCCTACAGTAAATTGCATTTTAATTTTCTTTCTCAGCTAAGCTGCAGCACCAATTCCAGGAGACGTCACAGGAAACAGCTGAAAGTCAAGAGCAAATGGGAAGACGAGCTAAGGTGCGAACACTTGGCGAGACTCGGTGGGGCGCAAGAACTGACGCTTTGTGTACTTTTAAGTTATCATTTGCCGTAATCTTAAAGGCTTTAGAAGTGCTTGACAGGATGCAAGACTCAAAATCAAGGGTATTTATCAATAGCGTGCTCAAGTTCGAGTTTATAATTGTATTAATTGACTGTGAATGGTTGCTACAATTTTTTGTGCCTCTTACCAACCATCTTTAAGGGGTTGACCTAGACCTACTCCAAGTACACACGCAGGCCAAAGTCGTCATCTAATCACTTCAGTAGTCCTGGAATAAGCTGTATCAAATGGCAGTATCTGTTGCGGCACAGCATGACGTCCCAGTTTGTAAACCTAGAGTAGCTGGCCGATAGTTGAATCGAGAAAATGTTCCATCAGATTCAAATAGTGACTACTTCAAACGAGCGATGTATTATCACCTGTGTCACGTGCTGAACAATGGTATGGAGTCTGGTGTGTCCAAAGGGGGAGCTAGTTTTTATCAAAACTCCATTTTCCTCGAACTCGTCGACCCAAACACTGGCGGTTGCCCCATTTGTGTGCGTTCGAATGGCTATAACAACGCTTCTTTTAGGTTCACCCTTCATCATATATCGTTTATCCATAGAGGACAATTTGACTAATGGCAGGAATATTTCCAGTTCAAGAATAGAATTCCTAGAATGCGCCATCCATCCACTATAAGCATCCGTCCGAAATTTCTGTAAGCCATAGTTAGGAGTCTTGACTGGAGTCACGTGGCCCGGTCGATTTATCAACGTCTTCTCCAAAACCTGAAATCTGGATTTTCCGATTACTTTTACCTGAAGTGTTTGATGTACTAACGAAGTTTGGGTGGCATCCGGTACAATGCGTGTAAAACAGCGTGGGTTGTCAAGAAATTCCATCAGATTCTTCGTAAACACTGGTTTTGGGAGATCACTGAGATTTGGAGAATTACGGTTTAAAACCACATTTTTGCGATTTGAAGGCAAAGGTACATTTGGAAAAGTTCTCTTAGAAATGGCCAAGCTGGCAATTACTTCTAAGATTATCTTTCGCACATAATGTATAATCATTAAACCGATTTGTGCGTGAGCCAAAATACTCGGGTGGTTACCATCAGAGGTATACAGTCTTGGATACTTTCTGCCTCTTGATGGATTCGAGCAGAGGAAATTACGGAGCGTTATTGAGGTTATTCCATAATTTTGTGCGAGCATTGTTTGACCGTGGTTCTCTAGGTTATTACATACGGGAATGTTTGCTTGTCCTTGAACAAAGTTTACGAAAAGAATGGATGGGGATGTTTTCTCCCCCAGAACTTCTCGAATGAGCTGTTCTAACGGTAAGGCTGAGGGAAATTTGGAACCTGCAAACTGCATGTAATCGTTGACGGTAAAGTCAAGAAGCGCCAGGTCTATGTCAGTGCCTGGGCCTAGTAACGCTCTGTAACAAAAAGCGAAAAAGTTACTGCATGTTCCACCAATAGCCAGGTTATGAATTTTAGCGGAGGAATCCGTAAAAGGTTCTACGGCTTTCTGCCACCAGTCAGCAAAAACGCGGTAGTACACTCCCCTGAGGTCTTCTCTGTCGTAGTTTAATCCTCCACCTGCTGAGATTGAACCTCCCATTATAACAATGTTTATATTTTCACCGTTAAGTGATCGTAGGATAGCATTCTTTAAGCTTTTCGCTGTTTTACCTCTAAAGACAATACCATTGTTCCAAAGTCTTGTAAACAATATTTTAACTGCTTGAGAGCGAAAACGGTCTTTGAAAAACCATATGTCGAAAGGATTCCTTTCAACTGAGTGCTTGAGTAGATCGATTTTTTCTTGAGTTATCTGATGTTCATAAGTAGGTGACGTCTTTAGTTTGTCATCTAGCTTGCCAAATCCTTTTTCGTTTGTCCTTAACACAGACATACCGTGCACTTTTGATAAGTCTACTCTAAATTCCATCAAGGAAATGATTAGAAAGACCCTCCAAAATATCTGCATCACGATGTTAAGAGGACCTCTAACCAGCACGCTACTCTAGAAAAGAACTTAACCCCTTACTCGAGAAAATACGTACCGAGATTTTTGTCTGCAGGTTTTGATGCATTCAGTAAAATAGCTCCGATAGACCGAAATACCAGAGTTGATTCATAAGCTCAGCGTGGATTTCACAGCCAGGTAAGACTGTAAGACTTAACATGCTAGTTGTCTGATAAATCAATCACCTGTCATTCTACCTGCTAAGATACTACATCGTTCTTTCAGTTACCTGTTGAAATCAGCTATCTCGAGAGCCTTATAAAATTTAAATAGTCTGCTTGACCGACGTAGTTAATACTCAGTCTTTTTGGAAATTGCCAAAAATCTATTCGAGCCACCTAAGGCACGATAGAACGGACAGCAAGAACGTGCAACTTTTTTTGAAGTATTGCTGCAAAACGAGTTGAATAGCTATGTCATGCGTTTTACTAACCACGTTCAAACCTGTCTTGCAACACTTTAGGTTGTGTCAAGTTGCGCAAATTTGTNAGTAGATCGATTTTTTCTTGAGTTATCTGATGTTCATAAGTAGGTGACGTCTTTAGTTTGTCATCTAGCTTGCCAAATCCTTTTTCGTTTGTCCTTAACACAGACATACCGTGCACTTTTGATAAGTCTACTCTAAATTCCATCAAGGAAATGATTAGAAAGACCCTCCAAAATATCTGCATCACGATGTTAAGAGGACCTCTAACCAGCACGCTACTCTAGAAAAGAACTTAACCCCTTACTCGAGAAAATACGTACCGAGATTTTTGTCTGCAGGTTTTGATGCATTCAGTAAAATAGCTCCGATAGACCGAAATACCAGAGTTGATTCATAAGCTCAGCGTGGATTTCACAGCCAGGTAAGACTGTAAGACTTAACATGCTAGTTGTCTGATAAATCAATCACCTGTCATTCTACCTGCTAGGATACTACATCGTTCTTTCAGTTACCTGTTGAAATCAGCTATCTCGAGAGCCTTATAAAATTTAAATAGTCTGCTTGACCGACGTAGTTAATACTCAGTCTTTTTGGAAATTGCCAAAAATCCATTCGAGCCACCTAAGGCACGATAGAACGGACAGCAAGAACGTGCAACTTTTTTTGAAGTATTGCTGCAAAACGAGTTGAATAGCTATGTCATGCGTTTTACTAACCACGTTCAAACCTGTCTTGCAACACTTCAGCTTGTGGTAAGTTGCGCAAATTTGTTGCAGAAAGTAGAGTAGCTCTACTATTTGCAACAAATTTTGTACATGTTGCGCGTTTTCCCGGTCCAAAACAAACTTGTTTTGTATGACGTGACTCCCGCGTAATATCCAATTAGAAGTCTAGCCTGAAATTCATCCGATTGCTTCGAGTCGTTTTCTCCCCTCAACAACGTCTGAATCGACCGGCCGTTAATGCCGTCCAGTGACGTCACTCGCTACCCGAAAACCGGGTAGTGATTTTGATTGGTTGATTGTCTAAACATTCGCATAATTATGTATAATTATGAAAAATTTTAGCCGGATTGTCGCTTGATATTCAGCGGATCGCATCCCTGGCATTCTTTCGTTTAGTTCAAAAATTTCGACAAGCTTAATCTTTATCTCAAACAGCAGAATTGCCCTTGTCTTCGAAACTGAAATGCTAAATTGAACTGCGAATGAAGAATCATTGCGGAGAGTCGGTGGGTTTTTCATTAAGAGCCGCTCTGTGGTTTCGGCGGCCGGTGATTTTGTTTACGCGAAGTTTTCCGAGATCAATGTTATAATTCGACCTTCTTGCTATTTTTACCGTGAAGTGTAATGATTCTGTTAGCTCTTTTTTCTTGTCTCCTTGGTTTTTTTCTTTGTTAAGGACCAAATAGCTTCTTTTTCAATTAAAGCAAATCACTGTGTTTTTGAACTAAGTGTTCCGTGTGTGTGTTTATTTCATTGCGTGATTGCGACCGAGTTTGATTATAGAATTTAGTACAACTGGTTCAAGTTGTCCTGCATGCAGTTGATAGTTTGAATGTTAAACATGAATTACGATAAAAAAAAAATAATAAAGCAGTTCTGTATCATGCAGACATTTCCAAACGATTTTTCTCGGTTTGCCACTTGAAAATCGTGTTTTACTTTTTGCTTGAATTAATTAAAGCAAAGGTCAAGGAGTAGTGACGTCACTGGACGGCATTAACGGCCGGGCGATTCAGACGTTACTGAGGGATTAATAACGACTCGAAGTAATCGGATGAAAATCAGGCTAATTAGAAGTTAGAATTCAAGCAGAATGCAACGGCCTGATTTGTTGTAAGACAGGTTTGTTTCGTAGTTGGTAAAAGCGGGCGTAGCCAGCGTGTAGGCCCGTGGTAGGCCCAAGCCTACACTTTTTTTTCCGCTCGCCTGACTTTTCACGGTAGTATGACTAACTAGTTAATTTTGGAAGACACTTAAAATTTCTTACGAAATACTTTCGAGTCTGTAACTAACAAAGAAGCAACAAGATTAAATCCCCTAGCGTTAAAGAACCATTGGATTGTAAGGAACATGATGTCCACCCTACTGTAAATTGCATTTTAATTTTCTTTCTCAGCTAAGCTGCAGCACCAATTTCAGGAGACGTTAAAAGAAACACCTGAAAGTCAAGAGCAAATGGGAAGACGAACTAAGGTGCGAACACTTGGCGAGACTCGTTGGGGCGCAATAGCTGACGATTTGTGTACTTTTAAGTTATCATTTAACGTGATCTTAAAGGCTTTAGAAGTGCTTGACAATATGCTAGACTCAAAAGCAACTGGATTTATCAGTAGCGTGTGAATGGTTGCTACAATTTATTGTGCCTCTTACCAACTATCTTCAAGAGGTTGACCTAGACCTACTCCAAGTACACACGCAGGCCCAAGTGGTCATCTAATCACTTCGCAGTGAATGTAACGACGAGTCCTTGAATAAGCTGTATCAATGGCAGTATCTGTTGCGGCACAGCATGACGTCCCAGTTTGTAAACCTAGAGTAGCTGGCCGATAGTTGAATCGAGAAAATGTTCCATCAGATTCAAATAGTGACTACTTCAAACGAGCGATGTATTATCGGAGCTTGATTCGCGTATTGTCAACCCAAGTCTACTGTTTACTATAACAAATCTTGTGCAGAAAAATGTAGGCAACTGGTCTCCAGCTAAGATCAGTGTCAAAAAAGTTTTGGGCGCGTACAATCCCGACATCCCGAAAGAAATTAGACANAATGGCAGTATCTGTTGCGGCACAGCATGACGTCCCAGTTTGTAAACCTAGAGTAGCTGGCCGATAGTTGAATCGAGAAAATGTTCCATCAGATTCAAATAGTGACTACTTCAAACGAGCGATGTATTATCGGAGCTTGATTCGCGTATTGTCAACCCAAGTCTACTGTTTACTATAACAAATCTTGTGCAGAAAAATGTAGGCAACTGGTCTCCAGCTAAGATCAGTGTCAAAAAAGTTTTGGGCGCGTACAATCCCGACATCCCGAAAGAAATTAGACAGTTACAGGAAAGTGAATGTCTGCGGTGGAAAACACGTTGGGATAGAGTGCACGATCCTCCAACCACAATTGTTGAAACACTTCCTCACTGTCACCCACAAGAGTTCCTAAATTTATCCAGGGCTTTTACGGCATTTTAACTCTATTAATCACTACAGCAACTGTAGAGAGGTCTTTCAGTGCACAGAGAAGACTTAAAACGTACCTGAGGTCCACGATGGAAGAATATCACTTGAGTGGACTTGCTCCTATGCATATCCACAAGCATGTGTCATTCAGGGCGGAAGACATCGTTGACGATTTTGCAGCATCCGGAAACAGGAAGATGGAACTTCTTTTCCAGGTATTTGGATTGACTGTCACAAGTATCGTTGGAGAAAGGCGCTTTTTTATTGCGGTACTGAGATCAATGTCTTGAAGTTTAGATACACACTCCAGATTCAACTAATTATGCATACAATTAACAGTCTTGAGGGTCTGATCTGTCTACTGTATTACCGGGTCACCTTAGGGATGGGCCTACAAAAAGTCAAAAAGCTGGCTACGCCCCTGTAAGCAGTACGTTTTTTGGCCCGTTTAGCCGCAGCTTAAGCGTATCTTTTGCGGGTATACTTCCAACCACTTTAATGACCAGCTTTCACTTGGTTTGCTAGTCCAATTGGTGAAAGCCTTTTACCCGAACCTGGCCTGGCCTGGCATGCCTGAATTTTTTTTTATCAATATGAGTTGACTTGGCGGCAAACATCCAGCTAGACCATTTTCACTTTTGGAGCTTCTTCGCAGAAAACGTCGACAACCTCAGCCACTTTTATAGTCCATGAAAAGTCATGGGAAGTTGTAATGAGGTCTTTTACAGAACCCACTAAATTTTGTTGTTTTCAATACGCTACTAATGTATAATTTATACCAGATTTGCTTTGGGTGTGTGTCACTCGCATAACTTCACACTCAGGTTCACATAAAAGTTTAGTTACCAGTTTTCAGAGTAATACCATTAAGGCAAAAAAAAGGGAGGGGGAATGAGGGCTACTTATATCGGATATTTTTCTGTAAACCTTTTTGTCACCTGCGCACATCGTTTCCAGATATGATGAACAAAACAGGTCCGCGAGAATTGTTCCCTGGGGTATTCCTGACAAAACAGGAGACCAAGACAAGCAGGTACCACGCAGGACGACTTGTTGCATGCGGCCAGACAAATTACAATACCCATGCACTGAAGCAGCCGTAACGCTCTAGTTTAAAAAGAGGGCACTCGTGCTGTACACTATCAAACACTTTAGAAACGTCTCAGAAGGCATTGTTGGTTAGCTTCCTGTTGTCATGCGATTTTGCCCAATCGTCGTAGCAGGAAATAAGCTCAGAACTTTTGGATCAGCCAGCCATGTAAGAGCTATGTAAGCGAACTTGTTCGGATCTAGAATATTGATGTTTTAGCCAACTTTCACACTACAGATGTTACACCTGATTCCCTTCGCTAACCCCAAAGAGTGTACGGACGGACGGAGTACGCTGACGTCACAAACAAAATTTCTCCGATGGATAGTGTACCAAATTATCTTAGCTATGGGGCTCCGCTCACGCGAGCGCGAGGAGCTCCGTTAAGTGTTCTATAGCAATGTGGTGGTGGTGGTGATAATGATCATGGAGGGAAAACAAAAAAGTTAAACAAAAGCAAGATAACTGAATTGTGAATGTTAGAAAGGAGAGTGAGGTAGCTAAAGTCGAAAAATGCGCTTGGTTTTGGAAAAAGTCAGTTTGCCTTCAAATCCATTTATATGCACGATTTGCCCGCCAAGAATAAGTGGACCGGAACTAGGACAATTTGTTGTCTGCTATAAACAATCGGAAAGCGAGGGAAACGTTTATTTTATTTGGTATGGCTCGGCGATTTTGTGTCACAGGCTTCTTATTTAGCGCTTATTCCTTCGACAAAATGCATAAACCAAAGAATACCGATCTAAAATATATTAAAATTTAAACCATCTTAAAATATCACCGCATCCCACCGCATTTTATGCATTAGACAAAGAAAAAATCAATGGCGTCATCTTCGTTAATGTTTCCAATGCAAGTTAATGAAATTCCACCGCAAAAAAGAGGCCTAACCGGTGCAACCTATACTACTCCTTATTTTGCGATCTGCAATGTTTAAACTGTGTTGTCTTTGCCTGACGTCATTCTTCCAAGACTCACTCTTAATCGTAGTTTTTTGGTTTTGCGGACGGATATAATCACCAAATGACGTAATACAGAAGATTGAAAAGACACTTACAATACCCACCCCACAACACCAAAGAGCACCAACAATGGTTTCCAAAACACTAAGAAACACCCCTATTAAAAGATCCGTTGAGGTAAGCCTCCTACATTTGCATTGATCAGCGTTAGCCCTCTCTTTCTAACTGCTTTTCCCTCTGCATGAAAGACCAAACTGTTATTATAAAGAACGTTCACTACCTAGCACAAGTGTTCAAACTTCTGTTGTTGGCTGATGAATTTTTGCCAAAAGAGACACGTATGTTTTTGCACCTCCCCTCTTGCCCTTCCTCTTTTCCCATCTATTTTTCCTCCTAACGTGATCCTCAGTTAGCCACTTTAGCTTCCTCGCAAGCACGTTACGAAAAAAGAAGTCGAGAAATTTAGGCTAATGCATAACGGAGGATCAATTTAAATAATGGCATTAGAGTAAGGCAAGATATGAAAGTCAATCAAAGAAGGAGAAACGTTAATGATTATGAGGTTGGTCCGTTTTGCCAGAGCTGGCTCGACCTGATGATGATAAAGTTCGTTCGTTTGGCTTTTGATTCCTCTTTGATCTGAATGCTTGAGTGTGAGAGAGAGGTTTATAAAAAATCTTAAATAGTCCATTTGGACTATGGCCTCATTTTACTACTACGACCAGAATCCTTTTCGTTTTTCCTTTAATATTTAAATTTTGTAATCCCGGTGAGTTTTGAATAACCAAAGCCCTAATTAGCACAAGAAAGCAAAACCCTGAAAGATTCTGGTCGTAGTAGTAAAATGATGTCATCGTGCAAATGGCCTATTAAAAATACGTGTCTCAAAAAAACAAAGTTGAGCTAGGGACTGGACTGGCACGTGACCAGTGGCAAATATCCTGCCGTGAAGACTGTTATTTATTTATTTCTTTTCCTTTTCAAAGAATATTCCGAATTATTTTGGCCTCCGAATGTCGTCAAATGGTAAGGTCAAATGAAAATTTTTTCCACTGAGTCAGGTTAGGACAGCTTCGGAAAAAATCTTCATTTGTATACTGGACCAATCATAACACCCACTAAAGTAAAAACCCCAGCTGTCGTCGTCCTCACGCTAAGAACGTGACGACCCTGTGTCACGTGCTGGACAATGGTATGGAGTTTGGTGTGTCCATACATGGAATAGGCCTCGGGAAGAAAAAAATTCGTTAAAAAAATATTATTCACTCGATCGTACTTAAACCAACGATTTTGTAACTAGGGCCCATAGGGCTTTATTCTGGTTGAGTTTGAGGGCAGGTCATTTTTTGACTAATTCTACGTCTAGTTGATATTTACGCGGAGTCGCTCTTAAAACGTACCTGAGGTCCACGATGAAAGAAGATCGCTTGAGTGGACTTGCTCTTAATATGCATATCCACAAGCATGATGTGTCATTCAGCGCGGAAGACATCGTTGACGATTTTGCTACATCCGGGAACAGGAGGATGGAACTTCTTTTTCAGCTATTCGGATTGACTGTAGCAAGTATCGTTGGAGAAAGGCGCTTTTTTATTGCTGTACTGAGATGAATATCTTGAAGTTTAGATACACACTCCAGATTCAACTAATTATGCATACAATTAACAGTCTGGAGAGTCTGATCTGTCTTGTGTATTACCGGGTCACTTTAGGGATGCGCCTACAAAAAGTAAAAAAGCTGGCTACGCCCCTGTAAGCTGCACGTTTTTTTGGCCGTTAAGCCGCAGATTAAGTGTCATCTTTGGCGGGTATACTTCCAACCACTTTAATGACCAGCTCTCAGTTGGTTTGCTAGTCTAATTGGTTAAAGCCCTTCACCCGCAACCTGGCCTGGCCTGGCATGCCTGATTTTTTTTTATCAATATGAGTTGACTTGGCGGCAAACGTCCAGCTAGACCATTGTCACTTTTGGAGCTTCTTCGCGGAAGACTTCAGGTGGGCGAGACGTCCCAGTAGTCCAACAGCTGCCATAAACGAAGCATAATTTTAGTCTCAGAATTAAAAGCGAATGACAACAAATGACGTTAGACAACTGAGTATGATTGGAAAAAAAATCTTCTTACCCATTGCTGACAACCTCAGCCACTTTTGTAGTCCATGAAAGGTCATGGGAAGTTGTAATGCCGAGGTCTTTTACAGAACCCACTAAATTTTGTTGTTTTCAATGCGCTAACTAATGTATAATTTACACCACATTTGCTTTGGGTGCGTGTCACACACATAACTTCACATTTGTTCACTTAAAAGTTTAGTTGCCAGATCTCAGAATAATACCATTATGGCGAAATATTAGTAGGAATGAGGGCTACTTATGTCGGATATTTTTGTAAATCTTGTTGTCATCTTCGCACATCGTTTCCAGATATGATGAACAAAACAGGTCCGCGAGAATTGTTCCCTGGGGCATTCCTGACAAAACAGGAGACCAAGACGAGCAATTTGTTGTCTGCTATAAAAAATCGGAAAGCGAGGGAAACGTTCATTTTATTTGGTATTGGTCGGCGATTTTGAGTCACAGGTTTCTTAGCGCTTATTCCTTCGACAACAAGCATCAAACAAAGAATGCTGATCTAAAATCTATTAACATTTCAGTCACCTTAAAATATCACCGCATCCCAAGGCATTTTATGCATAAGATAAAGAAAAAATCAATGACATCATCGTCGTTAATGTTTCCACCGCAAGTGAATGAGATTCCACCGCAAAAAAGAGGCCTAACCGGTGCAACCTATACTACTCCTTATTTTGCGATCTACAATGTTTAAACTGTGTTGTCTTTGCCTGACGTCATTCTTTCAAGACTCACTCTTAATCGTAGTTCCTTGGTGTTACGGACGAAGACACTTAACAATGCCCACCCCACAACACAAAAAAGCACCAACAATGGTTTCCAAAGCACTAAGAAACACCCCTATTAAAAGATCATTGAGGTAAGCCTCCTAAATTTGCATTGATCAACGTTAGCCCTCTCTTTCTAACTGCTTATCCCTCTGAAAGACCCAACTGTGATCATCCAGAACGTTCTCTGCCTAGCACAAGTGTTCAAACTTCTGCTTTTGGCTGATGAATTTTTGCCAAAAGAGACACGTATGTTTTTGAACCATCCCCTCTTGCCCTTCCTCTTTTCCCATCTATCTTTCCTCCTAAGGTGACCCTCTGTTAGCCACTTTAGCTTCCTCGCAAGCACGTTACGAAAAAAGAAGTCGAGAAATTTAGGCTAATGCATAACGGAGGATCAATTTAAATAATGGCCTTAGAGTTAGGCAAGTTATGAAAGTCGATCAAAGAAGGGGAAACGTTAATAATTATGAGGTTGGTCCGTTTTGCCCGATCTGGCTCGACCTGATGATGATAAAGTTGGTTCGTTTGGCTTTTGATCTGAATGCTTGAGTGTGAGAGAGAGGTTTATAAAAAATCTTAAATAGTCCATTTGCACGATGGCGTCATTTTACTACTACGACCAGAATCCTTTTCGTTTTTCCTTTCATATTTAAATTTTGTAATCCCAGTGAGTTTTGAATACCCGAAGCCCTAATTAGCACAAGAAAGCAAAACCCTGAAAGATTCTGGTCGTAGTAGTAAAATGATGTCATCGTGCAAATGGCCTATTAAAAATACGTGTCTCAAAAAAACAAAGTTGAGCTAGGGACTGGACTAGTACGTGACCAGTGGCAAATATCCTGCCGTGAAGACTGTTATTTATTTCTTTCTTTTCCTTTTCAAAGAATATTCCGAATTATTTTGGCCTCCGAATGTCGTCAAATGGTAAGGTCAAATGAAAATTTTTTCCACTGAGTCAGGTTAGGACAGCTTCGGAAAAAATCTTCACTTGTATACTGGACCAATCATAACACCCACTAAAGTAAAAACCCCAGCTGTCGTCGTCCTCACGCTAAGAACGTGACGACCCTGTGTCACGTGCTGGACAATGGTATGGAGTTTGGTGTGTCCATACATGGAGCTAGTGTTTATTAAAACTCCATTTTCCTCGAACTCGTCTATCCACACCCTGGCGTTTGCCCCCTTATTGTGCGTCCGTACGGCTATAGCAACACTTCTTGTGGGTTCCCCCTTAATCATAAATCGTTTATCCATAGAGGACAATGCAACTAATGGGAGGAATATTTCCAGTTCAAGAAGAGAATCCATAGAATTCGCCATCCATCCTCGATAAGCATCCGTCCGAAATTTCTGGAAGCCGTCGTTAAGAGTCATGACTGGATTCACCTGGCCAGGTTGGTTTATAAATGTCTTCGGCAAAACCCGAAATCCGAAGTTCTCGATTTCTCTTACCTGCAATGTTTGATGCAATGACGAATTTTTCGTAGCATCCGGTAATATTTGCGTAAAACAGCGTGGTTTGTCAAGAAACTCTCTCAGATTCCTCCTAAACACTGGTTTTGGGAGGTCACTCAGGCTGGTGGAAAAATTGTTAAAAACTATGCTCTTTTGCTTTGAAATAGCTATATTGTCAATTACTTCTAGAATTGTCTTTCGAACATAATTTATGATCAATAAAGCGACCTCAGCATGAGACAGAATACTAGGGTGGTTTCCGTCAGAAGCAAACATTCTTGGATAGTTTTTTCCATTTGATGGATTCGAGCAGAAAAATTTGCGGAGAGTTATTGAGGTTATTCCATAGTTTTGAGCGAGAACTGTTTGACCGTGATTCTCTAAGTTATTGCAGGTAGGACTTTTGGAAACCCCTCTTACAAAGTCAATGAAAAAAATTGGTAGAGACTTCGTTTCGCTAAGAACTTCTCGGATAAGCTGTTCCAGTGGTAAGGCTATAGGAAATTTGGAACCTGAAAACTGTACATAATCGTTGACTGTAAAGTCAAGAAACGCCAAGTCTATATCAGTGCCTGGATTTAGCAAAGTTCTGTAGCAAAAAGCGAAAAAGTTACTTCCTGTTCCGCCTACAGCCAAGTTATGAAGTTTGATGGAAGAACCCGTAAAAGGTTGGATGGCTTTTTGCCACCAGTCAGCAAAAACGCGGTAGTACACTCCCCTGAGGTCTTCTCTGTCATAGTTTAATCCTCCACCTGCTGAGATTGAACCTCCCATTATAACAGTATCTATATTTTCACCTTGTAGTGATCGACGGATGACATTCTTTAGACTTCTCGTAGTTTGACCTCGCGAGACGATACTACTGTTCCAAAAGAGTGAAAACGTCAGTTGATCCTGTTCAGATTGAAATCGGTCTTTGAAAAACCATATGTCAAGAGGATTTCTTTCAATTGAGCGCTTGATTAGCTCGATTTTCGTTTGGGTTATCTCATACTGCTCAAGAGGCGTTGACTGTTTTCCTTGATCATTTAGATGGCCAAAATGCTTTAGCTCGGCTTTCCCTTTCCTTTTCACAGACATACCATTCACTTCTAACCAATTTGAACAAAATCCAAACAAGAGTATAAGAAAATAAGCGTTCCAAAGAAACCACATGGTGATTTTTAACGAATTAATACAGTGCAGGCTTTGAACCTGGTTGACTTGTCATGTATAAAGAGGAAAATGTGTGAAGCATTTGTCAGCATCAATCACGGCGAGATAGAGAGAAATGCGTTTATAAGCCTGACGTGAATTTTCAAAGGTGGATTTGATTGTTAACAAGGTTTATAATTGATCACCTCTTATCACGTACCTGCTAAAGCTCCAACTGGTACTTGATTAAAGCGACTTGCTCGCGAGGTTTCCTCAGTCACCATTTAGAACTTTCAGCGGTGTAATCTACTTTAAAAAAGAATAAAGAGGAAGGCTTATAATTGCAAGCTTTGATAATTAAACGATAATAATTATTCAGACTCGACAGCTTCACAAAGTATTTGAGCTTAGGGCAGGTGAGTATGCCACCGTAGGGATATTCTTTATAACCATTCTTGAGACCCTCGTACGGGGGTATGTCCCCCCCGGGGGTATGTATGCCCTAGAGGCGAAATTTCAAACACAGTGGTTTCGTGTTTTAAAGCCGAGTGGGTTGTGACTCTTCCCTGTTGTTATTTGACCCATCTGTATGTCGTTTTTTGCCATTTCATCTAGTCTTATGTCTCTGTTTCAAAGCCATGTCACTTGTTAGAATCAGATTTTAACCAACAGGGACTCATTCTTTAATAACAGCGACTGAAACGGACATTTATTCAGTTACTTTAAATCAAACATTGATCATCGGTACTTAATTTCAAGCATGAGACGTCCAAGGAATCGTCAAACTGATTATAAACCTGCGGGATCGTTGATCGGATTCCATAAATTATCAGCGCATAGATTTATTTAGCAGGTATATCATTACCTCAAACTCTGACTCTAGCACTGGCAGATTTGTTAGGCCCTTCAATCCTTAGCAAGTTTTATTATTGACTAAACTTTGATGTCCGACCGGACCAGGCTATTCTAGGATCCTCAGAAATGAGGTCTGACAAGAGTGAGCCTTTAAACAGACACTGTTTTATGGAGCAGACTGTTCTGAAGTATATTCACAGATTATGCGAGGGCTGCTTGTAGCCTGTAGTATAATGTGGATAATACAAAGATAAAGGACACGACGAGAGTGCGTTCGATGTTTCGATGATTCGATGTTTGTTAGGCGTACAGGCAGGTAACCTGAGATCAGGCGTTATTTTATTTTTTTTTTTTGCTTCTTTGGCTCGAGAGGGAAAAAAATAACTCCTGATACATTTATTTAACAAGCAGTCAACCGCCCCCTAATTTACACAATCTAACGTCTGCTTGACCTGTCATGTTATTAGCCAATAAGCGTTTACCATACGGGAATCAAACTTTGGCGCGAAGAATTTTTTGAAATCAATTTTAGGGAAAGAAAATTTTTAAGTACGTCCATGTTCAGATGGCGCTTTCTAAAAAAAATTATAATGCATGTGTTGTTTTTGTGATGAAATACTGCTAGCTGGAGCTGCCGTACCTTTATTTAACAGCTACAAATAATAAAGAATTTACTGGTTAAAGCTCGTTGACTTCGTTCTGTGCCGAAAGCGGTGAAAAAAACTTAGGCTGAAGCACCATATTTCACGAACTGAAAGGTGTTGTGAAAGCGAAGATCGCTCAGAATAATTCGCAGCATGTTTTCTGAAGGAGGAATTACAGTCAAACCAAACCAGGTCAAGATTCCATTCATGAATTGATTATTTGAAAAGTGAACCTGTTTGTCGCTTCTGTAGCTTGTAGCAGGTATCAAATTGCATTCAAATGATCGGTGAAGTTTCACTGCAACTGTTTTAGTATACGATGAGATGGAAAATATTTCAATGGATGAAACTTCTATTTAGGCATTCTTCAAATTCAAGAAAACTGAGCCGGCAGAAATATCATAACGAACTCGCGTGTGTATTCACTGCTCATTACGGAGTGTAGCTAAATGTCGTGGGTCGTGGGTAGTGGGTAGAGGTCGTGGGTCGTGGGTGTGGGTGTGGGTAAATGTCGTGGGTAAAAAAAGTATAAAAAAAAAAAAGATAAATTAAAGTAATTGAAAAAAAGAAATATATAAGAAAAAGTTGTAAAATATTTGTGAAACGAAAACCTCCAACTCCTTGATTGCCTTTTTCGTCATGACTTCTTCTTCGTCCTCCAAGTTCCTGTGGGACTTGGCTCCCCTTTCACAACATCGCTGCATAAAAGACATTTTGCCGATGAAGATTTATCCATACCTGAGCTATCGCCGCGAAATAAACGAAACAGACAAAAATTATACCTGCAATTCGCAGAAAGTATGGGGCAGCTCTGACTCGCTGAATGGAAATAGATGCACACTATTTATCTTTATTCGATCTACAATTCCAGTGATCAGTGGAGGCTTTTTAACACGATGGAATGCGATCACCGTGAGAAAGAGGAGGGAAAAGCGAAAATTTTTAGGTATTTCATATTTTTGGATAGAAGTTTTAGGTCTCAACCTTTCAACTTAAGGCGAGACTGTATGTAAATTTTATTGCCGCACCGAAATACAACTTTCTCGATTCTTTTTTTTGTTGTTGTTTTGTGTACACAATCTTTGCTGTAACGATTCGAAACTCGCTCCTTCAACTGAAAGGACGTTTCAGTCACGAATGTTGACATCTTTGAGAAAAAGCAGTTCAGCCTCCAGTTTTTCTGTAGCCTGCTTCAGGTTTCACGCATAGTGCACGGAGTTTCTTTTATTTTTCACCTAAATGTCTTTTTAGTGCCAGTTTGTACTAGAGGATTCGCTTATTTGCTTTGCTGACCGCGGGGAAGGGGAGTAGGATTGGTATGTACGCGGAGATTTTCGTTTCATGAATGTTACAACTTTTTGCTATTTATATTTTTACTTTTAATTTTTTTTTGGAAGACTTTTTTTTTTTACCCACGACATGTACCCACACCCACACCCACGACCCACGACCTCCACCCACTACCCACGATCCACGACATTAAGCTACATTCCTCATTACGCAAGCAAAAATGCAGACTAAAATCAACAACAGCTAACGGAAGCCGGCATTTTGGCCAATCGGAACAGCGCAAATCATCCGTATTGTTTCCTATCCAATCAGAAAAAAGTCCAGATTCTGGCTTTTTTACATGTGATCCGACAAAGAAATGTATCATGCCCTCTTCCCGTGAGAGACATAAAGGGATAATAGCGAGAGGGCATGATCTCAGGCTAACAGGCAGGTAACAGTTGAGCGGGAAGATTGGATGATCCTTGTGATAGATAATATGATTATGGCATATTTTGAACGGAAGGGTTGCGTACAACGAAACCTCTATTTAAACTGTGTATCATTATAAGAAGATTTTGAAAAGATATCGTATGGTTCGGTGTCAAGTGCTTGTAATCGGAGGAGACAGTGGCTAGAGTCCGTCGGGAGTGTAAATAGAACATTATTTTGTTTTACCGGCGGGATTACCGGGCGCAGTTGTGACCTGTTGAATTGGGGGATAATTTGGTCCAGTACCGAGTAACATGGGATCTGGGACGAGTACGGGGCTGTCACGTGATATGACGTAGATTCGGGAACCGAAATTCAGTCACCAAAAGCTATAATTTTCCCATATTTTGCAACGCCGTCCTCTGTAGATTTAGTGGTGAGCTACATCGATTCAGAATCAGTGAGATAGAAGCACAAAGTGATCTCGATCGCGAAGCATCGCCACCGACAAGTGATAATGAAGCGAGTGTATGTGCAGATTTCGCACTAACCCTGTCATATTCTTCAGTGGAATGTGTGTGCGGCTCACGTCAATAACTTTTCCAGTAATTTGGTCGAGCGTGTTGATTTCAATGACGTGAGAGTGGCACTACTGCGGGCTGGTTTATATGTTTTTCTTAATTGCCCCCGCAGGGATTTCGCCCAGAAGGCGAAATCCCGAGGAGGCAGTCTAGTAACTTGCGCGTATATTTTAAGGAAAGTACTTGCAGTTGAAATATACAGTGATACAGTCAATATAGAAAAAATCTCGAATTGCTTGAACAGGGGCCGCGAGGAATCGGTAGGTAATGATGACGTTTCTATTGTTTTCGCCCGCAAGTACGAAATGGTTAGGATGACGTAAAACACAAAAAATCCCGAAGGAACAGCTTACAATAGGTTTTTTTGTGACATTATTGTGCAGTCATACTTCGATACTCTTTTGCGTTACGTGTTATCAGTGACATTCTGTGGAGCAGTTGTTATGAAACTTATGGACCAAAAGACACTCGTTAAGGGAAGATGAAGTTATAAGGTGCGTAGAACCGTGTATATTTTAACATTAAGTGAGTTTGCCAGACACGAGTTCACAAATCTTTTATTGGAAACCTTCAACTGAACCTTGCCAAACAGTCTTTCTCTCTCTTTGACCGGAATAAGACTCGGCCCAAAACAAGCAAGACGAGTGATTCAACGGCTAGCTTATCACTAGCAGAACGATGGACGATTACAGAAAATCGCCGGCCATCAAATTCTGTGCTGACTTATTCCCTGCTCACAGATATCCGTCCGCTATAAAGTTTAAAATAAGACTAGAATGCGCGAGCGTGAATTGATCAAACGTCCTTTTAATTTCTGAGGCTCACTTTGCGGCAAATGAAATGAACTAAATGTAAAAAGTGAAATAGAAATAGCGAAAAATTCAACTTCTAATTAAATCTTTTCTTATGGTTTAGAATAAGCTATTCTCGAAACTGAGAATGTTTTGATCAAAGTTGTGTAAATCGAACCGAAACTGTGCATGGAATATGTGTGAAAATCTTCATTTTGAATCGGTATATTTCAAAGAGCTCACAAGGAGCAAGAATACTATACACAGAGCGCGGGCTGCTGTAGTGTCAACTATAACTAGTAAATAACATAGAGTTAAAGTGTTCGTTTGTCTGGTGCCGAAAATATCACAAGTCATGATCAAATGGCGCCGCCGAGCTTCACATCTTGGTAGATTTACTTTGTGGCACAACGGCTGCCGAGCTGCACATGTACAACTCGGTAGATTTACTTTGTGACACAACGGCCGCCGAGCTACACAACTCGGTAATTTACTCTGTGGCCTGACAACTGCTGCCGAGCGATACAACTCAGTAGATTTACTTTGTGACACAAAGGCAGCCGAACTAAACCCGGTTTGATGCATGCACCAGGAATCGCACACATTTTCCAAAGACAGTGACGAACCATGTTGAAAAATATGAAGGCTTAATCCAAAGTCAAATTTAACAGCAAACTTCTGAAAGGTGAACGCTATGGAAGATTCAGCAAACACAGATCGATGTACGCTTTACGAAGATTCAGCAAACTTTTTAAAAGATGAACGCTTTACGACGACAGAATATCAGACCTCAGCAAACCTTTGAAAGATGAACGCCGAGGGCACACGAAACACCACGTGAGTTAGCGCGTCAAAGTGAGACAAAACGTAAGCAAGCATTTCAAAGTGAGGCAAATGTGTGTCGACGACGACGAAATGCAATCTAAAAATAGCCTCCCTTATTAATTGCACAGGACACCCCGTAAGGCACATAACACCCAACACAAATTAGGGGTTGCGTTCTCGTACCTCGAACGCAAAACGTAATAACAGACTCCCTCCCTCCCGCCTCAAGTTTGACTCATTTTGTTGTTGTTGTTTGTTGTTTGTCTTGAAGAGCCGCTCATAAAAAATGGCGCCGAACAGAGGGACCGCTGACAGAGTGATAACAATTATTAAGATTTCTCGCTAACCGTTGTATGGAAGTTTTTTGCTGGTTAGTCTTTATTAAGGTCGGCCAAGAGAGAATGATTGGGTCAGCAAAGGTATCCGCCTCGTTCACACGGCTTTAATTTTCCCCCAAGAAGCCCTGGGAACGAGGCTGAAAAAGAATACATTTTACTCGTCGAAGGTTGAGACACTTAGTTGGAAGATATGGAGTGTTGAGCGTTCTATACATTTTTATCCTCGAATGCTGAAAGTATCTCTCACGAGTGAGAGTAAAATAATTAACTTTCCAGCACATTAACATTTTAATAGGAAGTGTACTCACACCCGTATATCCTTAATCGTTTGTAGGAGATGACAGGCTTTCGGAGACATGGCTAGAATAACTAAAACCGAAAACATTTGTGTAGTTGACAGTTTCATTTTGGTTTAAGCATTGCTTGTAGAGTGCCTAGCCTGCGAGAACATCCGTTTCTCCTCGCTCTTCGCCGTTGGGGAGGTTTCGCGCAAAACGTCCCCAGCGGCGAAGAGCGAGGAGAAACGGATGTTTTCGCAGGCTAGTTGAGGGCCCCTCTCTTCTGTGACTAACAATGACGACCCCTGCTCGGAGAAGAAAAAAAAAAAAGAAAAAAAAAGCAAAGAAATACGGCAAGCTTAAAGAATGTTTATTAGATCAATAATTCCAACAGGCTTTTTACATTTCATGGCCTTTGCCAACTACGCTGTTTCGTTTTCGGCGAAAAAGAAAGTATTTTATTTCAGCTAATATGAATAGAAAGGAAATGGTGTATTCAAATTAGAGCATCACATTGTGAAACACATGAAAAATTTTCTTTCCTCTAAACGACTGGATCATGGACTCAAACTCTTTCAAGGAATTACAAAAAAGGCAGGAAAGCAAGGCAGGAATGAAATCTTGACCAATTAACAAAACAACAAGTTTGTTTCAGCTTTGTGTTGACCTTGGTCAAGTATCTACGCAATTTCCTGTTTTGGCGTCTGACGAGGAAGTATTTACAAGTTTGAGGCATTATTCTGCAAGTTCCTATATACTGAAAGTTAATTCTGCTTGTCTTTGCGTTAACATTATACAATGGCATCATGTATCGGCAACATGATCATCAACGGTTACCTATCTTATACCGCTATCGCATTGAACATTACCACAATACTTGCTCTTCGAAAAACAGCCTCGCCTTATGTACCAAAGCCACTAAAGACTTTGCTGCTGAGTCTGGCTATTTCTGATCTTAGTGTCGGTTTAGTGCTACAACCGTGGTACATTAAAATCCTTTCCACGCTGATGGGCAGTGAAAAAACTCCAAAGCTTCAGACTACATTTAAAGAGTTTCTCTCTACAGCATGGTTTCTATGCAGTGTTTCTTTCCTTGGTGTCGTAGCTCTAAGTGTAGATCGGTTCTTGGCTATTCATCTTCACCTCAGGTACCAGGAATTTGTGACTCGTAGGCGAGCTGTTGCTGTAGTGATCTTTGTATGGGTTATGAGCGCGTTTTTGACAACCCTGGTTGACTCTGTGCTAAAGCAAAATGGAGCAGTTGTTTACATAAGTATAGAAGCTCTTTCTCTTATTACTACGGCGCTGTTTTATTATCAAATATATATCGTGGTAAAACGCCAGACGAATCAAATGCGAAACCTTCGTATACAACAGGAACAGACAGAAAACATTGCAAGTGCGGCAAGATTGCGGAAGTCTGCTCTTGGCACATTCTGGGTATATGTGGTGTTTTTAGCTTGTTACTTACCAGATATTATTATACATACAGCCATCCTAAGTGCCGAGAAAAACTCGGCGCTATTGAACAATCTGCACCTGTGGGCGTTGACTTTGGTGTTTTTTCATTCCTCTATCAATCCTCTGATTTACTGCTGGAACATGAGGCACATTCAATACACCATCTTGGACATAATTCGCACCATCGTTTTCTCTAGGCGTTAAAGTCAAGTAGATAAGAATTAAAAACTATGACTACTCCGGCCGTAAAAAGGCCCAAATTTATCCAAGTTCGATCTTTTGCCGGCGTTTGATTTTCAATTATTCTTTCCTTTTTCAAACCAATAAAGCCTCAGCTAATAGAGCAAAATCTTTTTTGTGAAAGAAACAGTGTGACAAAAGTATTTACTGATTCCATTGAGAATTGTGTGTGAACTAAAAATATATAAAAGAAAGAAAATATTTGTTAGTTTCAAGGACACTGAACTGTCAGCAGGAGAATTATAGATGTCATTGGATAGAACACGATCAGTACAGGAAACACTGGAACGAGCGAGATAGATCGTCAGGTCAACAGAAGATGAGAGAGAGATTTAAAAATCACTCTTCTAGTGGCGAGTACGGCAAACGGCCAACTTGAATTTATACCACTTGACAATTTTTTCCTTTGCTTGTCGTTTGCTGTTCATTTCTTTTACTAAAATAGTAGTTCAACGCCATTTTTTTCCATAAGAATTGTTTTCAACTGTTTTTATCGGCTCATTTTCTTTTTTGAGAGTTTCTCAACTTGACTCTGAGCTTTGCCGTTTGCCGTAAACTTGACTCTAAATCTGTCTAATGAATCCTTCTTCCGCCCTTGGCCTCATTTGATTCAACCAACAAATGCTTCAAAAACCTTTTCATGCCGGATCAATTGCGCGTTTGCGATTCAGTGTTAAGATGGACAGACATGACAGGCCGTCAGGTGGAGAAAAAGGCGAACGAAGCCAGACGACGGGTTGGGATTGAAAAAAATACGGCACTTTCATTTTCACTGAATTAAAATAACTTGTAATTGTCTTTGTCTGAATCAGTGAAAACGCCATGGCAGGACCAATGAAAGTACCATATCTTTCTGATAAAACTTATCAGAGGTCATGGGTTTGAATTCCCTTTCAAACGTCTGCCGCGCAGGCTAATTCTTTTGAAGCCTGAATATTTTTTCAGACTTCAGACTTCTCAGAACGTTTCGCAACTGTTATACTGCGTACAGAACTAAAACGATCTGTCACATGATAAAGAAGTGAGTGTGTGGGAGGCCTTAATGAATGAGCCAAGAATGAGACTGCAAACAGAGTGACTGGAATGCTGTAAATAATTTAACAGATTGAACCGGAAATTAAATGCAATGAACGAATTGAATAAATTGAATGGAATTCAATGAAACCGAATGAATGATTATTGAATGTAACTTAAATCAGGTAGCTTTTTACAGTACTTGTATCAGTTTTCCGACAGGAAAAAGGGTGGACCCTGTTGCTGCGACCTATTTTAGTTTTAGCCATTTCATTAAACCTGGTAACATGGTCAAAACTCTAATACACTGTATGCTTTAATGAGGCAAACTGAAAATGACTTAAAACACGGTCTTAAACCGTGACTGGTTAAACTCCGTTTAAATAACCGGCCCTTTCTATTCATCTCAAGAACGCATCAAAAGTGACGTTTTCATGATTGGTTAGACCAAGATTTTTAAACCTCTTTCTTATTGGTTGGCGAAAGCTTTGTTGTCTTTTTACCTCTAAATTTAGAACACCCCTGTTGGCTGGGCAGATCTGCAAAGTCATTTGGCCCATTTGAATATTTTATTATGGATACTGGACATTAGGTCCGAGAATGTTAAGGTATTAAAATGGGAATACGTTTCCAAAGCTACCCATTGACTGGCTTAGCAGCAATATTTCTGCATCAAACTGTCACCTCATTTGCAGTCAAAATAAAGAGAGTGAGCGAGTCAGGGTTGTCCAACATAACCGCATGGTGGTCTGTCTTGTATGGGGTCTTTGACTCTTTTACAGACCGTCCTTATGGCAATCCCTTTCTTTTTATCAGTTACCTGAAACCTTTTGCCATTAAATTGTCTGTATAAACCATGTTACGATCCGTAGGGGTCGAACTGTCTACGAATCGTGTGCTTCGTGCTTAGTGCTTATGCCAAGTGCTTATGAGCCCTGGGGCCCGTTTCTCGAAAGTCCCGTTAACTTTTCGGGCCCGAAATCAAATATTCAAATCCAAATAAAAAGAATAAGAGCGCGTGTCCTGGCTAGCAAACTACTCCATTTTGTTTCGTTAACTGATAGTTTTATCATGTTAGATGCAAAACTATTGAAACCTCGATCTTTAATGGAAACCGAGACAGCTAACCGGGCCCGTTAATTATCGGGACTTTCGAGAAACGGGCCCCAGGCCCCCACAAATTTTTCTTGGACATCACATGAATCCATACATAACATGCCTGCCAAACGGCGCGAATTTAAACATGGCGGCTGTTGTTGCTTCGGCTTGTGCGACTTCCAAATTTATCCCTCAATCTGTGATCGATAATGTGCTAGCAGTATGTCCTGATGTTGATCCCAAGGATGTTGCCAAGGATCTAGTAATCACTGGAAGTGCTACACGAACAATCAACCGGATTTTAGATGGGCAGGTCTGTGTAAACAAACGCGCTGCTTGCATTCTTAGGCCATAAGAAAAATCAGAGTGATTTTCAAAAATACCCGTTCCACGGGAAATGGCACAATTACGCAGGCAAGCTAATCTGAAGACATACATGTACACATCAGCACACTGATTATAAATCCCACTGTTAAATCCCACTTATCAAGTGGTTTTGCCCGATGTGGTTATTTCATGAAACCACAAAAACAAACAAACAAACAAACAAGCAATAACAAAAATGGTTGAGTTTTGCTTTGACCTCTTTAAAAGATGGTGTTGTGGTAGGGAAGACAATATTATTGATAAACAATGTACACATGTATGTGTTGTGGTTCAATTCTGTCCTTGGTTTAAATTTTATTTTCTTTTGTTTTTGGGTATGGTAATATAGGATAATGAGTTTGAAACAAAAGAAAATATAATTTCAACCACGGATAAATTGAACCACAACATATATGAATGGACTGATGTTTCTTTCTTCTTTTCTTCCATACTTTCTAGTTTCCAGCAGCAGTTAATGTTGATTTTGAAAGCATGCCATCAGAGATCAGTTCTGAGGATGAAGTTAGAGGACCATATAATGTCACTTCACCTCATTCCAAGAATTTATTTGTGTCGGCTAATAAAGTTTTGCCNAAATTGAACCACAACATATATGAATGGACTGATGTTTCTTTCTTCTTTTCTTCCATACTTTCTAGTTTCCAGCAGCAGTTAATGTTGATTTTGAAAGCATGCCATCAGAGATCAGTTCTGAGGATGAAGTTAGAGGACCATATAATGTCACTTCACCTCATTCCAAGAATTTATTTGTGTCGGCTAATAAAGTTTTGCCAAATATAAATAATGATGATAACTCCAGTGACACTGAAAAATATATTGATACAGATGACGATGATGATGATATTACAATACTTAATGAAGAGTCGAAAAGTTTGTTTAGTGCTCTTAAGAAGAGAATGTACAGTACAAAACAATCAGAACACAAGTATGCAAAACAAACAAAAGCTCTGGACTCACACAAGGACAAGAGAATTATTAATAACAATTATGAGTTGGAGAGCAGTCCACAGAAACAGCCTGTAAATACCAAGAGGACAAGCTCCATTGTTGATCTTTCATTCTCAGATGATGACAGTAACTTTGAAATGATTAGCCATAAAGCGCACTCACCTCTTGCAATGAATAGAACTGCAAATTGTGCTATGAAAGAACCAACTGGAGCCAGTCTTAGAATCAAGAGTGTTAATAAACTCAGAAATGGCTCAAGACAGGGGACAAATAGTTTGGATTCACATCTGCATGGATCTGACAATGACACTGATAGCTGTGAAGGAAGTGATGAGTTTCCTTGCATTCTAGCATCATCTAGGCTTCTCTATAGTGAAACAACCAGCAGATCTGCCACAGCTGATCTCACCTCAGGAAGCTGTGTGGACTCTCAAGATAGTTCTGGAATACCTTTTAAAAGAAAGAAGAGATCAAAAGAGGAAATAATGAGTCAGAGAAATGAAGCTTTGGTAAGTAGCTAGGGAAGTGTATGAACTCAATATCAAAACAGGACACCATGTACCTTTGTTATTTCAGCAATAATTTTTTTGTTGGAAGAATGCCATAACTAGCCTGTTTCAGGTGTTCAGATAGTAGAACATGAGTGAAAAATTGACAAAGAAAAAAAAAACGAGAGGAGACAGGGCTGTCACTAAGATTTCAAGTTGCCAAGTATTTACAATTAGTAGTTGGGGAACTGAACAGCCAGGGAGTTCTTTTCGTGTCATTTTCATTTTCTTTCCTACAAAAATAGTAGGGGGTCGTGCTCATAATAGCCGGGGGATATCCCCCAACTCCAGCCCTTAGTTACAGCGCTGGGAGGCTAGTCTTCCCTCATTTTTGCCCCCTTGTTTTTTCCTTGTACGATTTAACTCCCCACCATCTGAATGCCGTTCTCTACTATCTGAATGCCTTGAACTGGCTATGCCATTACTGGCAAGTGCTGTTATGATAATTCAAGGGATACCTTTAATACCAGATACATGCATAAATAAATGTCAAATTTGTTGCATAATCCTATGTGTACTTTCCTCCATTAAATTTAAGTTAAAATACATGTTGTGACATTTTGAAATACACAGGAGTTTATTATATTAAGCTCTTTTGTGTGTAAGTTTGATTATCAATGGAAAAGGGTTGGATTGTAATGTTTGGCAGCGAAAGAAACAAGCCAAGGAACTGGAGCGACAAGCAAAGAAGGAAGCTAAAGAGAGAGAAAAACAGGAAAGGCAGCAAGCTAAAGAACTAATGAAAACACAGAAGGAAAGGGAAAAGCTTTTGAAGAAGGTTTGTTTACTTGTTCACTGACAAGAAGAATATGTATCATTGTTTGCTCAGTGTGTCTTGGAAAATAATAGATTAAAAACAAAGAAAAACTTGACTGGGTCTTATACTGAACTTATTGCACTTTTCTCAGGACTCGTGTGTAAGATGATAAATCACCAATTGAAAGTGAGGTTGTGCAATTTCCAAATCAT